GAAACGGGTGAACGAATTTTTTGCCAGGCAAGTTGGTTTTTTGTTTATTTTGAAGTGTCATTAGTATGTCTATTCCTAATGCAATATATATGCCACACTCGGTTAAAGGTTTCAGCATCCTAGATTCTGTTTTGACGAAAGTTAATTGAAGAATATATAAACTGATCATGTTAGATTATTTTGAAATTTGACAATGTGACTGTTCTGGTGGTTTTTTTTCTCCTAATTTATTCGAATTTGTAAGTTTTAAAAACTGGATTTAACAATAAACAAAATATGTTTCTGTCAATGCTGTACAAATGGTTTAGTTCCCGCAATCCGAAGATAACGTTCAATACACAAAAATATCTTGTTTTCAAAGCTAAGCCATTTGGTTGCAGACTTATTAACTTCCAAAGGCAATTTTTGGTTGGGCAAAACTTATTGAAATCCATAGTAAAACTTTGCAAAAGGAGTGTAGAAGGTCATATTTATTAAAAGATCATGTATGTTTTGTAATTGTGGTTGTATACAACACTTGCGTGAAACTATATATTTATATAATTATACTAAAACAACAAGTTTCAAACATTGAAAAATATGTAAAATATGTACTGCAAATATTTGTACATATTAAATGTAATCATTAAATTATATTTTCAATGGCAATTATTGACATTTATGTTCTGTTACTTGTTTTTGTTATAAAATGTCATTTTATTCTTTCTTCTTTTACAACAATTATACACTTAATGTTTTAAATTACATGGTTCTCAATACTATAATCATCAGTAAAAGCCTGCAAACAAAAAATAGCATATAGCAAAAACATTTATTGATACTTCAATTCTAAAATATGTCATCATATGTAAAATGCAAATGAAAACTACATACAAAACAAACGTATGTGAGAGTAACTGTTGTATGTAAGTGAATTATTTTCATCATAAACATAAGGACATGTGCACACATACGATGTTACTCGACGAAATTTCCAAAGTTTATCAAAACCACAAGAAATGTTAATTTGTTTGTTTCGTATGTAAAGATCAAGCAGTTGCTTTAGACATAAAGTATGTAAAATGTACTTAAAATATTTTTAGAAACTTAAAATTTAAAAATGACATGATTGTTTATGATATTTTCGGATTTGATGTATATGATCATTTGTCAATTGGTATTTCAACCGCCTCCGTGGTCGAGGGGTTAGAGTCGATGACTTCTAATCCAGTTACCTCTCTGTGGGTTCGATGCTTTGGTAGTTTAGCGCGGAGGAAGGTAGTCTAGTACTGGGTGCTACTCTCTAGGAACGATGGTTAGGAAACTACCCGCCTATATGACTGAAATACTGTTGGAAAAGGGCGTAAAATGAAACAAACAAACAATCAAACAATTTGTATTCTAAAATTAGATCATAATATAACTGATAAACGATTGGTTATTTACATTGACTGATACGTGACAAAACTACTTAAAGTCATTGTTCGAGTTAGGAAATTTGGAAGATGTTTCGATTGGTCAATAATAAGCAACAATTTAAAGAAACATGCGAATAATGTCCTTGTGTTAATGTTAATATAGTTTTTATCTACTATATAATCAAATTTATTTTTAAATCTCAAAAACGAACAATAATGAAAGCTGTTTGTTGCTATTTTTTTTTTCTTTTCATGCCAAGATATAAAAAAGTCCTAAAGACTTTGTAAAAAGAAAGGAAGTATATCGAGAGAAAAAATGATGAAGATAAACAAAACTGAACTTCAATTTAGCATATTGTGGTTATATATCTATTTGAAAGACCCTGTGTTAGGATATAGCTGCACGCATGCACAATTTGTATATATATTTCTTATTAGATGAACAGGTATAATTGCCTTAATATTGGTAATTATTTTTAAAAAAATGATTATTATTCCTCGCTAAAAACATGCATACCACATTATTGACACAAAAGTTTGCAACCAAAAATGCTTGAAGTATAAGTCTGCAACCAAAATGTGCCTTGAACAAGATATTTTTGTGTATTGAACGTTATCTTCGGGATTTGCGAACTAAACCACTTGTACAGCATTGACAGAAACATATTTTGATATGGTTAAATCCAGTTTAAAACTTACAAATTCGAATAAATTAGGAGAAAAAACCGACCAGAACAGTCACATGTCAAATTTCAAAATATCTACATGATCAGTTTATATCTTCAATAACTTCGTCAAAACAGAATCTAGGATGCTGAAACCTTTAAACCGAGTGTGGCATATATATTGAATTATGGAATAGACATACTAATGCACTTCAAAATAACAAAGAAACCAACTTGCCTGGCAAAAATTCGTTCACCCGTTTCAAAAAATTACGCCGTGTTCGCCATTTTGTCAAGTTTGCAACCAATTCGCTCGCTTGAACCAAGTGTGCAACCACTTCACGTCCTGCCCCTTGTATACACTGTACATAATCCTATTTGGAAAACCATTGTCTGCCCGTGAGAGATAGTGATTATCCATAATACCGACCAATGATTGATTTAACTCTTTTCTTAAAACATAATTAGTATATAAAGTAAAGTTGATAAATATATCTCTGATAACAACACGACAGTTTGCGCTACATGCCGTACATAGTGGTACATATCCGGAACATATACGGTTAGATACGGCAAATATCAGAGTGACATGCGCAGTCGCTTTTTCGGAATTTACTGTTCACCGACTTTCGATTTTGAAAGAGGAACAAGAAATGAATTCATGGGTAAAATTTAATTATTGCAACGGTGCGGTTATATATATTTGTTTCTTTATGTGTAAGTAATAATGGTATAAATCTTTGTAACTTACGTTCAATTGTCATTGCTTGAAATTTGTTAGTAAGTTAATAACTTCATTTTATAAATTCTACTTTCGTTTTCAATTGATATGTTGATATTTTTATGCCCCCGCCCACAGGCGCTTGTCACATAATCAAATATTTTACATAATCGGTCTATATCTTTATATACATATATAGACCGATTATGTAAAATATTTGATTATGTGACTAGCGCCTGTGCCCCCGCCATGTAATGGCCGGGGCATATAGTCCTTCCGTCATTCCGTCATTCCGTCATCATCAGTTTCCGTTCATTAACTTAGTAACGGTTGCACACATTCAACTCAAACATATGGATATGTCATGAGAAAATACAGGTCAAGTTCGAATTTGGTCATGGTTCGATGATTTTTGGCAGAGTTATGCCCGTTTATGATAATAATATGAAATTTTCAGTTTCCGTTCATTATCTCCCCAACAGTACAACACATTCAACTCAAATTTGACATATGGATATGTCATGAGAAAATACAGGTCAAGTATGAATTTGGTCATGGTTCAATGATTTTTGGCAGAGTTATGCCCCTTTCACTTTGAAAATAATATGAAATTTTCCGTTTCCGTTCATTATCTCCCCAACGGTACAACACATTCAACTCAAACTTGACATATTGATACGTCAAAGGAATGCACAGGTCAAGTTCAAATTTAGTCATGGTTCAATGATTTTTGGCAGAGTTATGCCCCTTTCACTTTGAAAATAATATGAAATTTTCAGTTTCTGTTCATTATCTCCCCAACGTAGTCAAAATATATTGACGTGCCAAAGCTTGATTCTGAGATATTTACGTTCTGGGGCAGAATCTCGCTTTAAGAGGCGAGATATTGCCCAGACACGAAAATAGCACAATATCTCGTCGCGCAGTACAATTAGTTGGACTACTCCCCAACGGTACAACACATTCAACTCAAATTTGACATATGGATATGTTTTTGAAATGCCCAGGCCAAGTTCGAATTAGGTCATGCTTCAATGATTTTTGGCAAAGTAATGCCCCTTTCACTTTGAAAATAATATGAAATTTACAGTTTCTGTTCATTATCTACCCAACAGTGTTACATATTCAACTCAAATTTGACATATGGATATGTCAAAGGAATGGACAGGTCAAGTTGGAATTTGGTCATGGTTCGATGATTTTTATGCTCCCCGCAAAATTTCGGGGGAGCATATAGTCGGCGCCTTGTCCGTCTGTCCGTCCGTTTTCTTGTCCGGAGCATAACTTGAAAACCTTCGGAGATAATTTGTTTAAACTTCATACAGTGGTAGAGGGCATTGAGGGGGAGTGCAGTGTCAAAGAACTATAACTCTATTTTGCCCGGTTTTTGAATTATCTCCCCTTATAGAAAACTCTTGTCCGGGGCATAACTCTAAAACTATAAGACATATCAACATGAAACTTTGTAGGTGAATAGATATCAATGGGTAGATGTGCAGTGCATAAGACCAATAACTCTTTTTGTCCTAATTTTTAAGTTATTGCCCTTTGTTAATTTCAACACTTTGAACTTTGTCAGGAACATAACTCTAAAAGTATAAGAGATATCAAGATGAAACATTGTAGGTAGATAGATCTCATTGAGTAGAAGTGCAGTGCAAAAGAACCATAACTCTGTTAAGCCTCATTTTTGAATTATCTCCCCTTATAGAAAAATCTTGTCCGGGGCATAACTCTAAAGCTATAAGAGATATCAACATGAAACTTTGTAGGTGAATAGATCTCAATGGGTAGATGTGCAGTGCATAAGAACAATAACTCTTTTTGTCCTAATTTTGGAGTTATTGCCCTTTGTAAATTTTAACACTGAACTTTGTCCGGAACATAACTCTAAAATTATAAGAGATATCAAGATGAAACATTGTAGCTAGATAGATCTCATTGAGTAGAAGTGCAGTGCAAAAAAAACCATAACTCTGTTAAGCCTCATTTTTGAATTATCTCCCCTTTTAGAAAAATCTTGTACTGGACATAGCTGTAAAACTATAAGAGATATCAACATGAAACTTTGTAGGTAGATGTATCTCAATGGGTAGATGTGCAGTGCACGAGAATCATAACTCTGCCTTGCCTAATTCTGGAGTTATTGCCATTTGTTTATTTTTAGCTCACCTGTCACTTTGTGACAGGGTGAGCTTTTGTGATCGCTTTTCGTCCGGCGTCCGTCCGTCCGGCGTCCGTCCGTAAACTTTTGCTTTAAATGACATCTCCTCATAAACCGCTGAGCCAATTTCATCCAAACTTCACAGGAATGTTCCTTTGGTGGTCACCTTTAAAAATTGTTCAAAGAATTTAATTCCATGCAGAACTCTGGTTGCCATGGCAACGGAAAGAAAAATCTTTAAATATCTTCTTTTAAACAACCCTAAGAGCTAGAGCTTAGATATTTGGCATGAAACATCTTCTGATGAGTGTCTACCAAGTTTGTTCAAATAAAAGCCCTGGGGTCAAAATTGGCCCCGCCCCAGGGGGTCATAGATTTTCCCTATATACATATAGTAAAAACTTAAAAAATCTTCTTTTAAAGAACTGTAACAGCTAGAGCTTAGATATTTGGCATGAAACATCTTCTAGTGAATGTCTACCAAGTTTGTTCAAATAAAAGCCCTGGGGTCAAAATTGGCCCTGCCCCAGGGGGTCATAGATTTTCCCTATATGCATATAGTAAAAACTTAAAAAATCTTCTTTTACAGAACCCAAAAAGCTAGAGCTAAGATATTTAGCATGAAACATCTTCTAGTGAGTGTCTACCAAGTTTGTTCAAATAAAAGCCCTGGGGTCAAAATTGGCCCCGCCCCGGGGGGTCATTGATTTTCCCTATATGCATATAGTAAAAACTTAAAAAATCTTCTTTTAAAGAACCGTAAGAGCTAGAGCTTAGATATTAAGCATGAAACATCTTCTAATGAATGTCTACCAAGTTTGTTCAAATAAAAGCCCTGGGGTCAAAATTGGCCCCGCCCCAGGGGGTCATTGATTTTCCCTATATGCATATAGTAAAAACTTAAAAAATCTACTTTTTAAAGAACCCAAAGAGCTAGAGCTAAGATATTTAGCATGAAACATGTTCTAATGGGTGTCTACCAAGTACGTTCAAATAAAAGCCCTGGGGTCAAAACTGGCCCGCCCCGGGGGTCATTGATTTTCCTTATATATGAATTTGTCCGGACCATAACTCGGAAACCATAAGAGATATCAACAAGAAACTTTGTAAGTTGATAGATAACAGTGATTAGAAGTGCAGTGGAAAGAACAATAACTCTGCCTTGCCTCAATGGGTAGATGTGCAGTGCACGAGAATCATAACTCTGCCTTGCCTAATTCTGGAGTTATTGCCATTTGTTTATTTTTATTTTTTGAATTTGTCCGGACCATAACTCAGAAACCATAAGAGATATCAACAAGAAACTTTGTAAGTTGATAGATAACAGTGATTAGAAGTGCAGTGGAAAGAACAATAACTCTGCCTTGCCTAATTTTGGAATTATTGCACTTTGAACTTTTTCCAGGGACTACAAGAGGTGTACTTTCCTGTGTCCAAAACCTATTCGGGGAGCATCACCCGGCTCAAACCGGGCTCTTGTTTGGCAGAGTTATGTCCCTTTCACTTTGAAAATAGTATAGATACATCTTAGGAATAAGCAGTTTAAGTTTGAATTTGGTCGTGGTTCAATGATTTTGGACAAACTTATCTTTCTTGAATGTTAGAAAAATTTTGAACTTTCAGTTTCAGCACTTATACTTTAGTGGAAATGTATGTAGCCATTTTTTTTTAGCTACAAATATGAAATATGCTATTTTCAAAAGGTTAAGACTGAATTATTTCAGTTCCTTGAACATTGTATGAAAATGGTTTGTGTTAACATTGAAACGTTTTAAGGGCTTTGAACTTAAAACAAAAAAAAATAATTTGTGCAAACAAATTTGGAACTAAATATTATAACATCTGAAATTTTGGCTGCATGCGGGGGCATCCGTGGCATGATGACACATTTCTAGTTGTTTATAAAAGCCATATGTATTTAGTGTATTGATTAAAATAAACTCTTCATTACCCGTTAGAAAAGACAATGTCTAAATCTAGAGACAGCACAGAGACAGGTTTTTATAGAGATTAGTCCAACTAATTGTATCGATACCACAGGTGGCAGTATCAGTGTTTGGACACCCCACCCCTATCTGCCCCTGGACCCCTACTACAACAACTGAAAAAAATAAATAACTCAACACTCTAAGGCTTACTATACCAAATACAAAACCACCGCTGAAATTGTATAAAATAAATATTTTTCCACTATCAAAATTATAGTTATAGAAAGGTGAAAAGCCTACTATATGTTCATTTGCCAAACAATGTGGAACACGGGAAATCGTCGTTTCGGCGATTGAGGCGCATTCCGACAGGATTTCGCTGCATCATTCCTTATCATCAATAAAAAGAACTAGAATTCCACAGCTTATCTAATTAAAGTCCAACGAATATCACTATCATTCCGATTTTTTCTTTTTAGCTTGACTTCTTTTTTTTTTGAAAAAAAAAGTAGAGGTATTGCTTTAGTCGCGGCGGCGTTCCCGTTCCCTTCCGCAAACTTGTACCTGGATCATAACTTTTTTATTTCTTGGTGTATTGTCTTCATACTTGGCCACAACAACCCTTGGGACAAGACCTTGCAGTAGACCACACTAACCTTGACCTTCATCCATAAATGACCTTGACCTTCAAGGTTAAAAGTCCAAATTTTGCTTGTTCATGCTGTTATTGGCTGTAACTTTGTTATTTTTGAATGGATTGTCTTCAAACTTGAACATAATAATCTTCAAGGATATCCCTTAAAAATAACCTGACAGACCTTGACCTTCACTCTTAAATGACCTTGACTTTGAAGGTCAAATTATTGAAATTTTCATTTTTTTGGCTATTATTGGCTGTAACTTTGTTATTTTTGAATGGATTGTCTTCAAACTTGAACATAATGATCTTCAAGGATAACCCTTAAAAATATCCCGACAGACCTTGACCTTCACACATTAATGACCTTGACTTTGTTTTGGCTGTAACTGGCTGTTACTTTGCTATTATTGAAGGGATCAACTCCATATTATAACAGAACATACTTAAAGACAAGACCTTGTTGTTTATCGTGACTTCACCACGTGACTCCACCACGTGACTTCACCAAGTGACTCCACCACGTGATTTCACCATGTGACTCCACCACGTGACTCCACCACATGGCTCCACCATGTGACTCCACCACGTGACTCCACCATGTGACTCCACCACGTGACTCCACCACATGACTCCACCATGTGACTCCACCACGTGAGACCACGACGTGACTCCACCACGTGACTCCACCACGTGAGTCCACCACGTGAGTCCACCACATGACTCCACCATATGACTTTCACGTGACTCCACCACATAACTTCACCACGTGACTCCACCACATGACCCCACCACGTGACTCCACCATGTGACACCACCGTCTCCACCATGTTACACCACCATGTGACACCAACATGTGACACCATCATGTGACTCCACCACATGACTCCACCACGTGACTCCACCTTGTGACACCACCACGTGACACCACCTTGTGACTACCATGTGACACCACCACATGACTCCACCACGTGACTTCACCACGTGACTCCACCACGTTACTCCACCATGTGACTCCACCACGTGACCTCACCATGTGACTCTACCACGTGACTCCACCACGTGACACCACCTTGGACACCACCACGTGACTTCACCACGTGACACCACCACATGACTTCGAATTGCGTGTCTCTATTAATTTTATATACATATAAATTAGTAAATTTATATATATAAAATATATAGACAAAACTAATGTGACAAGACAGAATGATTAATTTTATAAAAAGGAAACGTTAATATTTTGTTCAAACATTTCTTTTTTTGCTTTTAGAGAAAGTTAAAAGACAAGCGTTGCCCCCGCCCGGCGGTGGCTTTTGTTAAATAACAGTTACATTTAGTTTGTATAGTTTGTTTCATTCATCACTTATTGCTAATAAGATATATAATTATTAATATCGGATTACATTGTTATGGAACGGTGCATAATTATATAAGTTCAGGTTTTATAAATGCAGAATGATATAATCACAGAAGTTTTGGGCGATGGACTCAGTGCTTGGTTGTATTGAGGTGAATTGAAGGAAAATAAAATGATACAAATTCTTATTTTCATCCTAACAAGCTAACAGAAAGACAATTGATAAGTTCTTGTATGTGTTTAAATTTAGAATCAATAAACATTTCTCTTTTAATGCTGTATGAACATTCCTCTTCAAATGCTGTATAATTTTTAAACATTCCTATTCTAAGGCCGTATAAGCATTGCTTTTCTTATGCTGTATAAACATTCCTCTTCTTATACTGCATAGATTTTCTGCTAATGCTGTATAAACATTACACTTCTCATGCCATATAAACATTCATTTTCTAATTCTTTATAAACATTTTCTAATGACGTATAGACTTTCGTCTTCTAAGGCCGTATGAACATTCCTCTCATAAGGCCGTAGAAACATTTCTCTTCTATGGCCGTATAAACATTTATCTTTTACTGCTCTTCTCATGTCAAGTACATGCTTATTTAATATGTAATACATTGCCATGTATTTATCGATTAAGAAAAATTATTGGTATCATGATATAATGACTATTTACCACCGATTTTGAGTTTTGATGCGTATGAATTGACCACGAAGGCCGTAGGTCTGAGTGGTTAATTTCTTCGCATCAAAACAACAAAGGGAGCAGACTCAAGAGTGATTAATATAAGTTACAAGATACTTATTATTTACCTGTTCCAATTTTGCGACTCCGTAAGAATTGTTTTGCACGGCCGTGCATATATATTGACGTGACATCATTTGGGTTATACATAAATAGTAGTGTAAAGACGCACAAAATGTAAGCATAACACTAAAGGCGCATCAATGAAAAATGATTCTTTCGCTCTATAAACAGTTTTTATTTTGGGTATGTGATATTAAATAGAATATTATTTGTGTAGGTTCATAACTGAAAGTTTTTAAACTGTTGAATAAAATACTTTTTTGAATGCCAGAGGCTCACACATTCAATAAATTCAGTATTGAACCAACACTTATTTAATATTCTTTATCTCTAAGATAAACCTAACTAATCAATTTTGAAATTCAAGGAAAGTATTTTTTTAGCAAGAGTAAATTGTTTTCAAAGCTAAATGTCATAGTTAAACATGTAGATCCATATTGGATCAGTATTATGTAGTTCACTTTTATGTGATTTACTGTTTTACATTCACTTTTGTAATTTTAGTGACAAATTTATTGCCGAATATATCAATATTAATTCATATGTTTTTATATACCAATAAAGTGACTATATATGCAACAAGCTAAAATGGCTTTGTTCATTGTCTATTGTGATATTTGTGAAAGAATAGAGCTTCTTCATCTTCTTCTTCTTCTAAATTAAAAAGAAGACGGAAACATATCAAGGTCGCTTATAAATAACCTTGACCTTGAAGTTCAAGTTATTGAATATTTGTTTTGCTGTAACTGGCTCTAACTTTGTTATTAATGAATGGATTAACATCATATTAAGACAAAACATTCTTTAGGATAAGACCTTCATGTATTTCAAACTTAAATTGACCTTGGCTGATTGATAACCATGACCTCAAAGGTTAAATAATTGAATATTCACTGTTTTTTTGCTTATATTGACTGTAAAATTTCGTACTTATCAATGAATTATCTTCATACATGGACAAAAGAACCTTTTGGATAAGACCTTCAATATGGCTGAACAGACCATGAGTGTTATTTTCTTTTTATTATTTCCTTAATTGTTTGATGTTTGCTATAACTTTCTAAAAATGGACCTGGAATTTGAAAGTTGCTATATGACTACAAACTAACTGTTTTAAAAGAATGGCCAACGTAACAGCTTATTCTGATCCAGACTCCTCACTTTGTAATGTTATATTTTGATTTATTTTCTTCTTACAGATGAGATGATTTTAGTCTGAGTGTTGCACAAGATGCTGTAAAGAAGCAAAATGGCAGAGGGTGGACAAAGGTCAATAGGTTAGTAATTTTTTTTTTCAAATCTAAAAAACTTAGGGTCATAACATTGAGTTGAAATATAACATGATACCACAATTTTCATAGCCTTTTTAAAAAGAGCCAGTTTAAAAATTGAAAATGCTCTGAAATTTCAAAAAAGAATGATAATAAGTCAAAAATAATTGTAAAATAATCATTTTTATAGCTTAAACCTTAAGCTCAATTAACAATAGATTAGGAAGAGCTACTGTACTCACACCAGCATCAGTTTTGGTGTCTCAGTCACACTTTTGTTAAGTTTTTGCATGCAAGTTGGTATCTCTTAAGGACTGAGGAAAGTTGAGTGGGCTGTGTGATTGACAGCTGTTGTTATTTATGCAAAAGTGTATGACATATGAATCTTAGATTTCTTTAATTGGGAAGTTTTTATGTTGTGTATATTGAAAACTGAGAACACGCACAAAATTTCTTGTTAATTAACTGTAAAGGCTTGACAGAAAACTGCTGTTGAAGCTTTTAGTAGATACATTTTGACATACAATCTGTTTTCCTAAACTTCCCTAGGTTCAAAACCTTTTTGTAACATAGAACTTTTCCATGCTCAGATGCATGTTAGTATAGTATCAGTTGAGAAGATGTGACCCTCTACCAAGTTTTAAACTTAGTATTGTCTTGCTCCTGCTTGAGAAAATACAATATTGGGCCTTCACTGATGCTATCTTGTTGTAATAAAAACATTAAATTATCTTAGAAATGTTGATAATTATTATTTCAAGAAAAAAAAAAGAAGATGGAGGACATTTAACTCAAATTTCATACATTTTATACATTTCTTTATTGAATCTTTTGTAAGATTTAATATTCCATGTTGTTTTTTTTTTCTAGGAGGAGAAGATAATGATATTCCTTATGCTGATGCTGATGAAGGAATTGTGAGTATATGTATATTAAGATAATTTCGTTTAATATTTTAAAGTTATTGAACAAAAGTTTTTTGTGTGATTCTTTTACATGTGTTTTAAATGTTTCATTGTTGGATTTAGAGCAAATGTAACATTGTATTTCTAGTTGTGTATCTTTTTTTGTGTCAATTTGATATTTTTTATTTGTTTGGGTTGTCAGACCAAACAAATAATGGTAGCGAAATTTCAGACTCTAATGCTGTTAATTGCAAATGCCGAAAGTAGTCTGTTTTTTTGAAGCGGTTACTTCCCTTTTTATGTACACTAACGCCGAAAAATTCAGGGGAGATCACTGCTTGAAAGATGGTCAAATGACAGAATGATGCATTAATTTTCAAGCAAAATAATTCTCGAATGGGCGAAGATTTCTAATATTGTTTTATTCTTTATAGATATGTACATGCTTATAGTAAGCTCCATGATTATTTACATCGGTCTTAAACAACAGTTAGCGTCGTTACAAACCCTAATTTAGAATAATATGGTTTTCTTTAGGCCGTAAACATATAAATTCACAGTGGCCGAGGGGTTTGCGCGCTCCCTTAGGAAGCGAGAGCTCTGGAGTTCAAGTCCCAGATAAGGCAACTCATTTTTTTTATGCCCCCCTTCAAAGAAGAGGGGGTATATTGTTTTGCTAATGTCGGTCTGTCTGTCTGTCGGTCCGTCTGTCGGTCTGTCGGTCTGTCCGTCGGTAGACCACATGGTTTCCGCTGATTATCTTGAAAAGTATTTATCACAAAGACTTCATATTTTACATAGTGATTGGTCATAACTAGTAGATGACCCCTATTGATTTTGGGGTCACTAGGTCAAAGGTCAAGGTCACAGGGACCTTAAATGTCAAAATGGTTTCCGCTGTTTATCTTAAAAAGTATGTATCACAAAGTCTTCATATTTCACACAGTGATTGGTCATAACTAGTAGATGACCCCTATTGATTTTGGGGTCACTAAGTCAAAGGTCAAGGTCACAGGGACCTTAAATGTCAAAATTGTTTCCGCTGATTATCTTAAAAAGTATGTATCACAAAGTCTTCATATTTCACACAGTGATTGGTCATAACTAGTAGATGACCCCTATTGATTTTGGGGTCACTAGGTCAAGGTCACAGGGACCTTAAATGTCAAAATGGTTTCTGCTGATTATCTTAAAAAGTATGTATCACAAAGTCTTCATATTTCACTCAGTGATTGGTCATCACTAGTAGATGACCCCTATTGATTTTGGGGTCACTAGGTCAAAAGGTCAAGGTCACAGTGGCCTTAAATGTCAAAATGGTTTCGCTGATTATCTGAAAAGTATGTATCACAAAAGTCTTCATATTTCACACAGTGATTGGTCATAACTAGTAGATGATCCCTATTGATTTTGGGGTCACTAGGTCAGAAAGGTCAAGGTCACAGGGGCTTTAAATGTCAAAATGGTTTCGCTGATTATCTTGAAAAAATATTCATCACAAAGTCTTCATATTTCACACAGTGATTGGTCATAACTAGTAGATGACCCCTATTGATTTTGGGTCACTAGGTCAAAGGTCAAGGTCAAAGGGACCTTAAAAATGTGAAAATAATTTCTGCTGATTATCTTAAAAACAATTCATCACAAAGTCTTCATATTTCACATAGTGATTAGTCCATAAACTAGTAGATGACTCCTATTGATTTTTTGGGGTCACTAGGTCAAATGTCAAGGTCACAGGGGCCTTAAATGTCAAAAATGGTTTCGCTTGATTATCTTGAAAAGTATATATCACAAAGTTTTCATATTTCACATAGTGATTGGTCATCACTAGTAGATGACCCCTATTGATTTTGGGGTCACTAGGTCAAAGGTCAAGGTCACAGGGACTTTAAAATGTGAAAAATGGTTTCCGCTTTGATTATCTTGAAAAATATTCATCCCAACAAAGGTTCTTGATATTTCACATAGTGGATTGGTCATCACTTAGAAGATGACCCCTATTTGATTTTGGGGTCACTAGGTCAA